TATTATTCATTTGACTTTATTGTAAAATGCCATGAGCCCATTTGATTTAGCTGTACGCAGATGTAATAAATGAATATTTTGATCATAAATATACTCAGGTTATAGTTTTATATAAACTTACTTAGGGATATTCCATTGAATCTAATGTTTTTTATTTCACTGCCCATATGTGTAGGATCTGCTTGCATATGTAAAAAAGTGTCATTGTTCAGTTACATTTGCTTAAATGCTCATAAGGAACAATTGAAAAATGCACATGGCAGGACTACATTCTTACCTGAAAAGCTAATAGCAAAAGCAGAAAAAAAATGATATATAATCTTTGAGCCTTATTGTTAATCACTTCTCTAATATTTTATTAAGATTCATTCAGCAAATTCCAACAAGATTATTATACTGAGAGATTATTCCTCGCTAATGGAGCTAGTTTATCCACCTATTTAATATCAGAGGTCATAATGGATGAAAATTTGTGTGGCCAGATTATTAATGAGGAAAATCCATTTTATAGCCTAAAAAAAATCTTCAGTTTTGCCCTGAATTGTCTCAGCAATAGGACAGACCCACATTTTCCTTTTCTCCCACCTAAGTTTATTTCTCTGCTGTATACAGTAGTCCTCGACTTACAACCACAATTAAGCCCAAAATTTCTGTTGCTAAACAAGGCAGTTGTTAACTGAGTTGTGCCTTGTTTTGCGACTATTTTTTGCCATAGTTGTTAAGCAAAACACTGCAGTGTGTCATTAAGCAAATTTGGCTTCCCTCATTGACTTTGCTTATTTGAAGCCAGCTGGGAAGATTACAAATAGTGATCACATGACCTGGGACAGTGCAACTATCATAAATACATATCAATTGCCACAGACCCGAATTTTGATCCTATGACCACGGGGATGCTGCAATGGTCATACATGTGAAAAATGATCACAAGTCACTTTTTTCAGTACTGTTGTAACGGTCACTAAACAAATGGTTGTAAATCAACGACTACCTCTATGTGAGAAGGTATATTATTGTAGGTATATCGTTGGTAACTTTATTTCATAAAATTCTGAAAAACTATTTTTAAAATTATCCACATCAATAAAACATTGCCATTTTAATTTATTTTTCAGATGTATACCTTATTTTCACTCAGGAACTTTAGGTGGCTTACCCAAGAAACTGTGACATAGGCTAGGCCAGTGTTTCTCAACCTTGACAATTTTAAGGCATGTGGACTTCAACTCCCAGAATTCCACAGCCAGCAATGCTGGCTGTGGAATTCTGGGAGTTGAAGTCCACATGCCTTAAAATTGTCAAGGTTGAGAAACACTGGGCTAGGCCAAGGTCAACCCACAAGTTTCCTTAGCTGAGGGTAAAGTTGAATCTGTTTCTCCACAGACCACAGATGAACACTTTACATCTCTATATTATTAAAAGCTTCATTTCTTTAACTTTTAACTGGGCAAAATAATATTTTTTGAACCAAAATACCTCAAATGGGCTAACATATAGAATATATCCAAAATCTGGGACCCATGACTCCCATGGAATTGAAATTTGGCAATTGTTAAAAAATATTTTATGACATAAAATTATCATTAACCATTTATGACATAACAAAAAATGTCATAAAACATTTCCTGTGATGGTGTTTGATGGTACATAGTTTGACGTGGGCTATTTCAAGGCAGATGCATCTCTGAATACATCCCAGCTTTTCCAATGAAAGCAGTGCATTAGAAGTTCTGTCATAGTTGAAGGCATTGTTAAGGAAATATCTCTGAAAGGATGACCCAATAGACCATGGGATGTCTGGTTACTATATAATATTTACCACTATTAGCATTTGTGGTACACTGAGAAAACAAATTCCCCTATATCAGTGCACAGTACATTTGTGGGTGTGACTACAGAATACCTTCTAAATTGCAGAATATTTGTTCCAAGACTTCTCATATTTCTGAAACACCAAAAGAAAGGCATTCAGATGATGCTGGGAGGGAGACAAAGTGCAGAATAAAATTACAAATGTTGGATTTATGAATAGTGATTGAGAAAAGATCCATGGAAGATTGGGTACATGGAATGGCTGCAAGATTATTTATACTCACAAAGATTGGAGAGCACTGAAATTCCCACAATGAATAAATGTGAGAAATGGCAAAACTGACCTATTTGATTAGGGAGAAAATTATAAATGTTTTTTTTTTAATGGAAATCTTTTATGGACTTTTTACTAGAAGAAGAAAAAAGTAAAATTATGATTTATGGATTTTATTATTTTAAAAGATGAGAATTAAGGGGCTGAAGGAGTTTCTGGAATAGTTAAGGGAGGGGAGAATATGGGTTTGTTAATATCTGTTTAAAAGAAGGTTGAAAGCCCTCTAGTTTCTTTAGTTGTTTCTCTCTAGTTTTTTTTTAGTTTTCTTTGCACTTTATATTTTTTTTCTTTGTTTTCTTCCTTTTTATTTATTAGATTTGGGTTTTTTTATGAAAAAACTTTAACCAATTATTATAAAATTCCAAATTTTCAGGAAAAACCATGTTATTTTAGCAGTATATTAATAAAGTCAATACCGTGTATACTGTAAATATACAGAATTAAAACACTGTAAAGGCAAGTGGACATGTTTTTGGTGTGTTCTCTGTGCTTTAGGGCTGACATTAAGTGAAGATGGTTATGGTTTTTGGCTTCAAACTATTTTTTAGACAACTGGGTTATGAAACCACAGAGATGTGGAAGTGCCTTAATAACTGCAGTTTTCCTGATATCATATACATTGAATTAATTGACTTTGTACTTCATAGGGACATTCCTGCAAAATACCTAATCCTGTAAAAAACTTGAACACCCTGTAATTTTCTAAATTTGTCTGTTAACCATTTTTAGCTTTTGACAGTTTTCCAAGTCAAACTCTAAATATGTATCCATGCTTTAAATCCCAAGTCCTTATTTCCCTCAAGTAGCTCACCAAAACAAAAACAGTGTACCTGCACACTTTAATCAAGTTACAGCTCTGTGTAGGAGATCTCTTACCAAAATCTGATCTCCTTTTATTAAAATCCAGTAGTAAAGTTAAGAAATGCAGATTGGGTGACTGCTGTTTTTCTAATTGAGGTAAAGTAGTCATATTGTGAGAAACAATGATATGGAGAGATAGAAATAAGGACGCTTAACAACAGAACTGATTTGGGGTCACTTAAAAAGCTGGGCAAACAAACTGAAAGGTAGATGCAAAGGAAGTCCTTGTGGAATTTAGTCCTTAGACGATGTTATCAATTTGTTTAAAGTTCTCATTTGAATGGGCAATAGATTCTTTGGTCAGCATTAGTTATGGTAAATAAGAATGTCCAGCACTATTTGCACAATATTCTTTACTGAGTCATACCTGCTCCCCTAGTCAGCCTAGCCACACAAACTGTCCAAGGAGAGTTAGCTAACCCTTATAGATTCCAAGATTACCGTGATATTTTCTCTATCCCCATTCTGCCTCCCTCCAACCATGGTTGGGGAGGCAGGAATGGCAGAAAAAGTGAGAGTAGAAGTGGAATGGTATTGGTCATGACATCATTTATTTTTTTAATTCATTCTAACATCCCTTGTGCTATTTGGCAGGATTGTAAGAATAGTCTTCCAATGTTGTGTGTTGCTGATGCATGAAGATTAGTCTGTGGAGTGGGAGAGGGGATGACTGAGATGTCCATGTCACATAAATCCAGCAAACAGATGTCCAAGATCCAGGTGTTGGAAATAAAGAACAAAGCAATCTTCAGGGCTTGATTGTAACTGACTGCTCCTGAAGGTAGAAAGTCCACTCTCTCAAAACATTACTGGACTAATTTATCCAGGTCATTCAGCCTGACCAGTGGCCAAGGATGAAAATGAAAGTTAAAACCTAACTTTTGGAGAGCCAGAGATTCTCTGACTCTGGGCCAGAGATTGAGTCTGATTCAACAAGGTGCTTGCTTTATCAATACTGACATGTCATCTTGATGTAAAACAGTCAGGAACTCATCACAAAATGTTAGGTCATACATCTTTAGAAAAATTTGACTTCCTTTAAAGGAAGAAAAGGTATTTTGAAAATGTTGCTACAATCCTTTAAAAAAAACCACCTGTTTTGTTTTACAGCCCGGTTGCACAATTTTCTCTGCCCTTGTAGTTGGATCACTCTTCAAAAATGTATATGACCAAACAAATAGGTATGGCTTGGACTAAAACTAAATTTAATTGAATACAGTTGAATTTATTATTTTTTTTTCCTTCAGAATTTAATACTTTTTCCCTTCAGTCACATACAACTCGGTCATAACTTTTGGACCTGCTGAAGGAGTGGTTTGATTGCCCAATTTATAAGGTTTACTCTTTGGTGGAACACCCCTTAAACATTTTATTCTGCTAGTTGTTGCAATACTTCAGTGCTAATATTATCAAAGGTTCTAATCGGCTCTGCTCCCTTAATTCACGGATTTTATATTTCTAGAAATCTCCTTAGAAATGGACGAAGGAAACAGATTCAAATCTCTTGTCTCTCAACCAAATTCAGCCAGAAAAAGCGTTTGAACCGAAGAAGAATATCGCTTTTCAACTTGCATCTGATGTCTTGACCGTTAATCCTCTCTACTTAGTGCAAGGGTAAGGGAGAGAGAAACAACCCCACCGGTTTCCTAAAAATCCCTTGCATTCGGCACCACGGATCTCGCTCTAAAGCACCCGTTCACCTAGCCGACTTACAACGCCGTAGAACGTAGCCAAGAAGGAAAATTCGCCCTCCCTTCTTGCTGAACAGACGTCACATGTCTTATAAGGGGACGGCCACGGGGGGCGCGCTCTCAAAACAACCTATAGGAGCTGCCGCAAGTTGCGATTGACACTCGAGAGACGCAATGGGGGTCCAGTGGCCCTCGAAAGTGAACTTTGGGCAACTCTGTTTAGCCAATGAGGTCACTTAGGAGGCAGGACCGAGTGCTGTCTCCTGCTCCCCCTCCCCGCCCGCTCGGAGAGTGCAAACCTTAGATTGCGGTCTGGCGGAAAGATCTGCTTTCTTCGCTCTCGGTCTGCCGCTGCTGTGTGGTAGCTGTGCCTCGGCAGGGAGCTTTCGAGCCTAGAAGCGCCGAAGAGGAGGAGGAGGAGGAGGGTGGGGGAGGAAAGAAGCCGCGGCGGCAACAGCAGCTTCAGAAGCAAGCGCGAAGGAAGGACAGCAGCCACGCAGGGATGGATCACTATGACTCCCAGCAGACCAATGACTACATGCAGCCGGAGGATGACTGGGACAGGGATCTCCTCTTGGATCCAGCGTGGGAGAAGCAGCAGAGAAAGGTAAACCAGCATTTTATTTTTATTTTTGCTTTCGGGCCGAGCGGGGAGGGAAGGCGGGGCGAGGCAGACGCCTTGCCGGAGGCTGCCGGAGAACTCCCTCCGAACGGCGTGCTTTGGGAACCGTGCGGGCTGGATTCCGGAGCGGGCGCACATGTTCCCCTTGCCGTCGTTTCCCCTCTGCCCGCCTTTTCCCACCGAGCCTGTGGACCGCTGCTGGTTTGCAGGTTGCCTTTAGGGAGCCCCGAACGTAGTGGCGTTGACTTCGTGTTGGAAATCCGTCTTTCAATAGCGTAGCGTTATTTTACTTCTCTCCGTTTTCTGTTGGGGAACGAGAACGGGTGGTGGCCACTTTGGGCATTTGTCTCCACGGGAGATCTGCTCTTCCTTCCCCTTACCTCGAAGGTAAGGCCAGGCGTGGGAGAGTGCTAAGGATAACGACCGACTCCCCCTGTTTCTGCGGGGAAAGGTAATCGCAGAGCCTCGACTGAAGTTAGGAGGCTGACTCGGTACAATAATTATTTTTAGGAATAAAGCGTGGTGGTGCGATCAAGATTGGCTCTTGCAAAACCTGCATCAGCTTTTTTTTTTTTTTTAAAAAAAAAGCTTTTTAAATATTCCTGTTCCCAAATGCAGGCATGAGGCTGCTGGAGAAGGGAGCGGAGGTGACGTGCGAGGGGGAGGCGGGCTGCCGTGGGGGGAGATGTTGCTGAAATAATTCGATCTATCAGGAAATCGGAGGGGGAAGGTCAGTGGGAGCCGTTGTCTGCCCAAGCCAGCGGCAGCTCTGAAGTTGCTTTCCTCTCTACTGAAGCAACAGATGTTTCCCTTGCTAAAGTCGGGAGGCTGACTGGCAGGCTCTGCTGGCCCCTCCGGTGTTTCGCAATGCAACCGACAAAAGCCACCTTCCCGGAGGGGGAAGAGGGAAGTGGTTGCTTGCCGTTCAAGGCGCCGCTTTCGGAATGGTTTTGGGGCTGAGCTCTTGCACAGAAGCGAGGAAAGGGCGCAACAACGCGTGTCCTGGCCACAAAGTGCCATTGAAATGGCAATACTTTTTCCTCCAAATACTGTATGCATTTTAAAGCGGAGCCGAGGAGATCGATGTAAAGAACAGGCAGAAGGAGATAAAGCGAAAGCAGAGCTTGTAGCGAGTCACTTCCCCCCTCCCTTTCCTCCGTAAAACCCCTGGGGATATCTCTTCTCCTGGTCCCCCTTAGGAATTTGGTCTCTAAGTCTTCGGAAAACCGGCCTGGGCACATCCCTGTGATCGAGGATGCCCCGGCTGATGGGTGACATGACCCCGGTTTGGTGAAGCTAGGTCGGAGGAGCACCCATGCTCGCCCTGCCCCAGAGATAGTCCTTCACCAGCGGGATCAGTTTTGAATGGTGCGGTTTAGGGCTGGGCTTGTGCAAAACTCATGTCCAAAAATGGTAACATTCGTCCCATTTTTAAATTTAAGGAGGCGGGGGGAGGGAGGGAGGTTAGAAGGCTGCCTTCTTTTCCACCACCCCCCCATCACCAATAACCAAAGACATCCTGTATTAGCTCACTCTGGAATCCTAAGCTCTTAAACACTTCCCTTTAGTCATTTGTCAGTGAAGTGCGATTAGAAAAGGGGGAGGGAAGAGATTTGACAAAGTTGCCTCCTAGCCATGTGGCACATGGAGGTCAGCCTTTTTCTGACAGACTTGAGTTTCGTACCCCTTTTGTCATATAAGAGAACTTGGGGGGGGGGGGGGCTGGGAATGAAAGGAATACTTTATAGCGCTATTTTAAAAGAAAGCTTTCATTACAAGGAGCTCTGAATGGAGGTGGAAAAGTCCTGCTTGAAAAACATAGTAATTAAAGAATAGTCTGTTATTCCTCTTGTCTAATGATAAAAGGGAGGAGAGATAACTTTAAATGATGTGTTTTCAGTGGAAGCCAAGATAAGTAAAAACTCTCCTCACTGGATTTGCCTCTTAGCTTGACAAAGCTCCACAGACACAATGAAAGCAGTGGAATAAATCCCTAAATGTATTTATCTATAGTGAAAAAGGTTTGTGATACAGGAGTTTAAAAGGACAATGAAGAGAAGATTGGAAATTTAATTTCTTATCCATGTGGCAAGAATGTTAAACTGCAGATCCAGACAGTTATCTAGCGATCATAAAGACCTATTTTTTTAGTGTACCAATTAGTAAACTAAGTAAAATGAGAAATTCTATAGGTCATGTTCCTATAAGAAAAAGAATTTGTCCTTCATTGTCACATACATAATTTTATTTTGTTTAATGGATAACACTCTTATTTTCCAAATGGAATTTACAAAAAAAAAAAATCCAGTATTTAATAATAAGCTTTTAAAACTAATTTAAAAAACCTCTTTAAAAATATTATGAGACTGAAGGTTAAAACAGGAGTTTCTAAGGTGACAGAACTTCATTACTCTTAATGGGGAGATAAGCTTATATATTGAAAAATATTGCACAAGTAACCAGAAGAGGTCTGCAGCCCTACGTCTAAAAAGAAATGCTCAGAATTATCTTGTGTGGCAAAGATTTTGGAATCATTTTGGAAAAGCCATGCTAGAAAGTTGCTTAAATGTATGTTTCTGTCTTTTCCTAACATTTGAAGTAGTTATTTCCCTAAATGGTTCAAATAACATATGTGCACTTCTAATGTCAAGAACTATACTTGTACTATTAATAAAGGAGAATATTTGTAGCTCAGGATTGATATGAGGGGTTCTTGGTGCTCTCTGAGTTTGCTTATTTTCTTGCAGACATTTCATTACCCAAACTAGGTAACATCATCAGTGCTAGTCTCTCAGCATTGATGATGTTACCCTAGTTTGGGTAATGAAATGTCTGCAAGAAAACAAGCAAACTCAGAGAGCACCAAGAACCGCTTATGCTATGCTATGCTAATCTATGCTATACTATACGTACACTATATTATACTTATACCATATTGTTGGGGGCAATATTCTGACATTTGGAAACTACTCAGAGAGTGCTGTACCACACTTTGGAGCGGTATATAAGTCTAAGTGCTGTTGCCATACTGATGACCTCTGTAAATCTCACCCTCCTTTCAAAACTTCAGCCCCTGCATTGGAGATCTCCTAACCATTTTTGTGGGAAGGGGAGAGGAACAGCTCCTTACGGTTTTGGTTTTGTACTGATTTTTGTACGGTGACTTTGAGATAGTGGCTGATTTTAGCAGAATAGAAATAGTGGAGAGAAATGTAAGTAGAGAGTGAAGAACTATAGGTAGGTAGGTACTTGAGGAAGAAACGAGGGGAATGGTGGGACTGGGGAGGTGTCAAAGAAGGTAAATATTTGGAAGCAGGTCTGATTTTTGTACGTTTGAGTCCCTGCACTAATTTGGAAGGCCTAGCCCTAGGTGTAGCAATAAGTGATTGTATTTTGTCCTAAATGGTCTTTCTTTTTCTGTAATAGAATATAGATTTCTTTTATCTACTTTCAGCTACAATCCTTTGGCTTTATTTGTATAATCCAGTCAGCCATTAATTCAATCAGATCTCCATGTTAGTCACTGCAAGAGCACAAACTCATGCTAAAAGGAACAGACGTCACTCTTTGGGTATACAGCAGTGTTTCTCAACCTTGACAATTTTAAGGCATGTGGACTTCAACTCCCAGAATTCAACAGCCAGCATTGCTGGCTGTGGAATTCTGGGAGTTGAAGTCCACATGCCTTAAAATTGTCAAGGTTGAGAAACACTGCTGTATACAGAGACTTTGCCCAATTTCTCCAGTACATACATAAAGTTCTTGCTCCAGATCATCATCCTGGCAAATCTTTCTGATGTGATTGGCCCCTTCCTAGTTGGTCAGGCAGGTAGCAGTATTGCAGAAGGAATGGGAAGGGGAAAAAGCAGAGATAAAAACGGCTGTGTTCCAAGCCCAATTTACACTTTCAACATAATCTCAGTCTGGCTGCCTATTCTTGCTGTCATGCTTGCTTCCAGCAACATCTGTTTTGTCAGTCTCTACCAACATCAACTCCCTCCCTCAACACAGCCACTAAAGACAAGCTACAAACATTGTAAAGCCTCTCCACTCCCATCTGCTTTGGTCCTCACCCAAATCATCCTTTGTTAGCCCCTGAGAAGGAAAACAAGCTCATGAAGGAGTCAGTCTCCCAATATATTTTGGAGCCAAGTACCAATCCAGGGGGAAGACATAATTACTTTGAAATATTACAGACAAGTAGATTCCTCAGAAACCCCTTAAAAGTTTAGGTAAGAAAGCCTTTGATTACTAGAAAGGAAGACAGCCTACCCAATCCTCAATCCTCGCTGAGAGCAGAATATATTTCTGGTGACAGAAGGAAAGAGGGAACAAGAGAAACACACAAGTAGTCTTTCATCCAGGATACCCAGGCCTTGTAAAATACAAGGTAATAAATATCACACAAGTACCTTTATCACATAGTATTGTTTATAGAATGGCTTATTTATAATTGAGAGCTCATAGTATGTAGGCAAACAGAGAAGCACAATTTCTCATTAGGAATCATTGTTACTTGCAGGAAGAGTGTCTATAAGCAAATTGACAACTTATGTGCACACACATGCCCATGTGTGCACGCATATAAGATGTGAATTAGCTGATACTTACAGCCAATCAGTGTTAGGCATATTCAGTCAGTCGCTGCCAGAATTTGAGCAGTGAAATGTATAATGGTATATTTGGATTTTCCAGCTGCTTTATAAACCTTTTTTTTCCCTTCAAATATTAAGTAGGTCTGTGTGGGCACAGCTCGTAAGGGGAGAACATAACCAAATCATAGCTCTGCTTAACTTCGTAACTTGGTGATGTTAGCAGGTCCTACTAACCACCCTGATGGGCAACTACTGTATATAATGTGAATACAGTCTTTGCATATAGAATGCCTTCAATTTGAAATTAGGACTGTTCTAGTTTATTTACTCTTTGAATTTGTATTCCACCATTTCTTGGAAAGCTCAAGGGGATGTACATAAGGCAGGGGTAGGCAACCTTGGCTCTTTTATGACTCGTGGACTTCAACTCCCAGAATTCCTGAGCCAGGAATTGAAATCCACGAGTCATAAAAAACTCAAGGTTGCCTACTCCTGACATAAGGCCTCTCCTAATTTTATCCCAACCACAGACTTGTGAGGTAGGTTGATTGACAGGCAGTGATTGGCCCAAAGTCACCTTGTGAATTCTTGAGTAGGAGATTTGAAACTCTGCAGTTCTGTATAGCTGTCCCCATGAAATTAAGGCAGAATGAAAAAAGATGATCTGTAGTATAGGGAGTCCTCAATTTAGGACCACAATTGAGCATAGCATTTCTGTTGCTAAGCAAGGCAGTTGTTAACTGAGTTAACAGTTAATTTTTTGCCACAGTTGTTAGATGAATCACTGCAGTTGTTAAATGAATCATGCGGTTCTTAAGTGAATCTTTCTTCCCCCATTGACTTTGTTGGAAGCCAGGTGGGAAGCGCCCAAATTTTGATCATGTGGCCATGAAGAAACAGCAATATTGGTAAGTATGAAAAACGGTCATAGGTTATTTTTTTCAGTGCTGTTGTAACCCTGAATGGTCACTAAATGAATGATTAAGTCAAGGTCCATCTATATGACATGTTCCTTTGCATTTCCCAACCTTTATTTTTAAATGGCTTTATATTTTTCAGTAGATGCTTCTAAAGGCAGGTAACAAAAGAGAAGAAAATTAGTATTTTGTGTTGTCATAGAATGCAAAATAGTATAATAAAAGCAGCAAAACTGAAGTATGTATTAAAGTAAATTATTGCTTAAAGTTCAGCAAGTAAGTTTGTACCTGGTACTGAAGCATCAGCAGAAAATGGAAAGAGTCCACCTCCAAATATAAACCTAATTTTGGTCACACCTGCCTTCTTTCTAAAGCCAATAGTATTTATAGTGAGATCTGCATTACAGGCTGAGCAGGATGAAGTAAACACAAGTACTCTTTCAAAAGCTTTTGTTGTTATTATGCAGTTGTAAGTTATAACTGAAAATGTCACTCCTTCACATCCGACAGATTTAATGAAGATTATTTGATAACAAGCAAACTTGTTGCCTCTCACTGTACTGGGGTGGAATCAATTAAGTCCTTCTGTTGATGAAACTGCATGTATTGGCAGAATTAGGAATGAGCTTTCCTTTTTCCTCTACCACAAGGTCTGCCCTGCTCCATCTGCTCTCCTTTAGTCTACAAATTGGGGATTGAGAAAGCCAAATGAGAGGATTGAAACGGTGGAAACTTAACTTCACATTTCTGCTTGGATCAGCTTGGGGGACTGGTTGTCATCTTTCAATCTAGGCTACCTGCATCACAATAGATAGTTGTAGAAGGGAGAACATGCAGGCCAGCTTGTGCTCCTGAGGAGACAGAAGATAAAAGTGTAATAAGTGTGTCAATCAGTTTGAGGATGAGAGGCAAGAACCCCGCCCCATGAAGAGAATCAGCCTGGTCAGCATTACATTCAATCCACTATTTGTTCAGCACTTTTATCCATAAATAAGACCAGGGGTTTAATTTAGCAGTATATCTTGAGATGTCCCATAGCTCTGCATTTCATTAGGGATGACATAATTTTGGAATCCTTGGTTTTTCAGCATGCAAACAACCCTACATTTATGGATTCTCACCTATTGATTAGTTAAGAGCTGTGATGGCACAGTGGTTAGAATGCAGTATTGCAGGCTAATTATGCTGATTGTCAGCAGTTCGATATGCTGACTGTAAATTGCTTAGAGAGGGCTGTAAACAACTATGAAGCGGTATAAGTCTATACTATTGTTAATTGTTTGCTTCCTGTTCTCTCTCTCTCTCTCTCTCTCTCTCTCTCTCTCTCTCTCTCTTCCCCCCCCCCCCCCATAGTTATATGAAAAGGGCTGCCTAGCTCTATGTAGGATACTGGATATGGGAGATCTACCATATTTCAAAGAGTTGTTCAGGTTGAGTTCCTGGAAAAGTCTGATTTTTTTCCAGATGAGCAATATTTGCATGAGGAACTGTATATTGAATCTTTTAAAAGCTGCTTCTAGCATTAAAATTTAAAGAAAAGAAGAGAACATGATCAACAGGCCTGGTTCTGACTTTTGTACAGCCTTCCGTTTCTTACAGGAAGTTTGCTTTATGGGATTAATGTGTTTTTTTAAAAAAAATCCAAAATATTTTGCATGTTTCTGGGCTGAGCTGCTTGATCTTATTAGAGTAAACAGCAACATTTCCTTCCCAGTGTGCTGGAATATTACAACTCTCAGATTTCTCACAGGCAGATTATGCTGTGTAGGAATTCTGAGAGTTCTAGTTCAACATATTAGACGCCGCCATGATGCTAAAATACCCCTTGCAGGGTTTTAATAGGGTAATTGCTGTCTGTTGTGCTGTGAGGTTCAGAAGAAGATAAACTCATTTATGGTTTGGCTAAACATGGGTAGTGTAATCCATACAACAAAAATAATTAGCCCTTTTCATTGAGATAATACATGCAACCTCCCAAGTTGTCCTCTACACTTGCATATTCTCGACTGTGTGGGTCCCTTGAGGAATCATTTGTTTGAAGTGGTTACATTAGTCTGAGCAGAAAGAAATCCATTAGTTCAAAACAGTTAATGCTAATTCAATGTTCCTGCAACTTCCTTGTGCACCAGTTTGCACATAAATACATACTGTACCCACCAGTTGCTATATAAATCAATGATTTTAAAGAAAAACATTTTTACTCTCACAGGCCAGCTTAAAATCAGAGTATGTTATTACAGCTAGTCCTTGATTTACAACCACAATTGAGTCCAAAATTTATGTTGCTAAGTGAGACAATTGTTAAGTGAGTTTTGCCCCATTCTAAGACTTTTCTTGTCAAATTTATTAACTGGCTCACTGCAGTTCTTAAATTAGCCACACTATTGTTAAGTGAATCTGATTTCCCCATTGACTTTGCTTGTCAGAAGGTTGCAAAAGGTGATCGCGTCTCCAGGGTGCTGCAACCGTCATGAATGTGAGTCAGTTGTCAAGCTTCCAAATATAAATCACGTGACCATGGGGATGCTGCAGTGGTCATCAGTGTGAAAAATTGCTCATAAGTCACCTTTTTTCAGTTCTGTTGTAACTTTAAATGGTCACTAAATGAACTGTTGTAATTTGAGGACTACCTGTACTGTTTTTTTAAAGGAAAGTTTACAAGGAATGCATACACAACATACATATCATAAAGAGGAGGCAAAGAAGATAGGACATGTCTAGTTTAATGAAGAGAAGGACAAGAGATAGCAGTGTTCCAATATCTCAGGGGCTGCCACAAAGAAGAGGTAGTCAAGCTATTCTCCAAAGTGCCTGAGGGCAGGACAAGAAGCAGTGGATGGAAATTAATCAAGGAGAGAAGCAACCTAGAAATAAGGAGAAACTTCCAGACAGTTAGAACAATTAAACAGTGGAAAAACCTGCCTCCAGAAGCGGTGAATGCTCCAACACTGGAAGTTTTTAAGAAGAGACTGGACAGCCATTTGTCTGAAATGGTATAGGGTTTCCTGCCTGAGCAGGGGGTTGGACTAGATGACCTCCAAGGTCCCTTCCAATTCTGTTATTCTGTTCTGTTCTGAATGTAGAGTTTGGCTAGATTTCTGACTGAAATACTGATTTTGCAGGAGCTTTAGCCTCAAGAATACCCATTTTCTTTTTGTTTTGCTCAAGAAATGCATGTATCTTCATGTCCTTTGCATAAGCTTGTACCAGTATTCGGTTTCCCCTTGCTGCATTTGGAGTCCATAAGTTGTATGGTTCGTAGGTTGTATAGTAAGAAGATAACCTTGAATAAAGAATTCAAGAACTGTTAAGTGGCTGTCAACTTGGTCCTGGGAAAGAAAGGATAAGAAAGAAAATCAAGATAATTCTTCCTTGATTCTGTTTAGTACAGAGAATCCTTGACTTACAATAGTTCGTTTAGAGACCGCTCAAAGTTACAACATCACTGAAAGAAGTGACTTATGACCATTTTTCACACTTACACCCATTACAGCATCCCCATGGTCATGTGACCAAAATTCAGAGGCTTGGCAACTGATTCATATTTATGATGGTTACAGTGTCCCAGGGTCATGTGATCACTCTTTGAAACCTTCTGACAAGCACAGTCAATGGGGGAAGCCAGATTCACTTAACAGTGTTATTAATTTAACAAGTGCAATGATTCACTTAACAACTGAGGCAAGAAAGGTTGTAAAATGGGGCAAAACTCACTTAGGAAATGTCTCACTTAGCAACAGAAATTTTGGGCTCAATTTTGGTCATTAGTTGAGGACTACCTGTATAGGGATGAAGGGAAACTTTTTCAAGCTTTCCAGTTTTTATTATTACAAGTTATAACACGAGAATTCCAGGAGTCCTTTTAGAATGTTTCCTGACTTGGCCTCTCTTGAAGGGTTGATATAAGTAGATGAAATAATTTACTTGAACAGTGAGATAGATCAGTTAAAGCTGATATAGCGTAATTGTTCACAGTAATAGACCATCTATTATTGATAATAATAGACTAGGATGACCCAGTATGATTTTGTATCAAAATCAAATAGCATTCTCTGTCATTTATTCTATAAATTTCTTCTTTCAGATAATTCAGATATTTCAGGTATGTCCAATATATATATACATTGCTTACTGGTGTACACCGCTTAGAGAGTGCTTGCACTTAAAGCGGTATATAAGTCTCATAAATAAATAAATAAATAAATAAATAAATAAATAAATATTGCTTGACAAGTACCTTTATTTTAGGATTCAAATGAAGTCTATGGGGATTTTGTGGGTTCTTATCATTGCTTTTTCTAACTGGATCATTTTATTAATTAATTTAATTATTAATTGCTTATAATGTCACAATTATCAGTCCCATGGCAACATTGTATAGCATGTTTTTAATATTCATCATAAAATACTATATAAAAATGACCATTAATCTTGAAAAACAATAAAGCAAAAATTTAAATGGCAGCAATTCATATAACAATGACATCAATTTAAATTACATTTAAAGTGGCACTTTCTTATTCAGTGTTAAAGTTCTCTGGAAAATTTCCCTTTTAACTCATTTCTGGAAGGTCAACAAGGCTAGTCTAATTTTCAGGGAGAGTCCATTCCATAACATTGGGATAAGATGGAGAAACATCTCCTCTTGGCCTGCGTCCCCTCTTGGCCTGCGCCCCTTAATCCAGAGCCCCCCAACCTTTTGGGCACCAGGGACTGGTTACCTGGAGAGATGTTTTTCCATGGACTGGAGGGGGCTTGGCTTTGTGTGCTGCCTGCATCCCACAGATGGGGCTTTGCTTGTTTGTGCATACCGGTCCACGGACCGGGAATTGGAGACCCCTGCCCTAATCTCACATATTGACCTTATTCATGCATTTATGTTCACATGGGGCTTCTCAGCTTTTTGGGACTGCTGGGTACCTTTGATATTTTGAAAGCATGTTGGGAGTGCATTCACAAAATAGTAACCATACCTGCATTGCCTACACCACTCTGTTAGCCAGTTCAGAAGGCTTTCTAACACCAGTTTATTTTTACTTTTTTTTTTTTTAGCATTTCCAAACAGTACTCGGCAAACACCACCCACCATTTTTCTTTTAATTGTTAAGAATTAGTTAATTAAGAATCTTGTAGAGGCCTGTATACATTCCTAGAACTAAAGAATGGAAATTTCAGCATGGCCTGTTTAAATTTATTTATGCTTAGAATGATACTTTACAAGTTGGGTGGGGCAGACAAATGCTGAGGGAGGCACTATACCTGGGGATCCAAAGCTAAAACATAATTCATGCCTGCTAGTCAAAAAGATTGCATTCACATATTACAATAAGCCCGAAGTAAGCAATCCATGAAGTGTATGTTAGCCCCAAGCCAAGTTTCCATTTGCAGCCTTCAGAGAACCCAACTTTTGGGTTTTTAAACAGCTTTTGTAATTTGAGGAGATATTAAATGAGAAACCCCTGCTTTAGGAGATGAACATTTTAAGTCATTAATTCTTTCCCTTTAAAACCCAAATAAATCTATTTACCTGTTTGGGGATGTTATTGGTCACATTTCTTATATCCCCTAAAGTCCAAAAGGAAAAAAATGCAATCCTCTGTTGCATAGTAATTTTACATCTCTGTACTGAGCCAAAATCAGCCAGAAAGGTTGGTATATAAAAGCTAATTGCATGAGGATGGAATGCATAACTCAAGCAAGTCTTGAGTCATTGTAACTATGATACAATGCCTCAGGTAATAGGCTATGGAGAAACTCTGAATATTACAACTACCAAGCAAATAACGGCCATTTAATTTTTGTTTGCAATCAGAACATTTTGCTCAATCTGTGTAATCTTATGCCTCTGAGAACTGGGGTGAGGTAACGGATGGGATGAACGGTCCCTCAAACAGCGTCTAAATGCCTTTTATCCCTTGGAACAGGGGTGTCAAACTTGCAATGTCACGTGACGTGTCGCGACATATCGTGACTTTTTTTCCATTGCTGGCAATGGGGTGGGCGCAGTTTTGGCATGACGCCTCCAGCCTGTGGGCCGGCAGTTTGATAACCTTGCCTTGGAACAATTCTCCAGTAATAGGCCTATTGCTGGTACACTTTTAAAATTACCTCTGACTGTTGGCTCTCTGAAGATGTTTCCATGAGTTCCCTACACATCTGCAGCCTTTGGTGTTCAGTGCAAGTTACTGTCTATTTCCTCCCCTCTCCTTTCTTTCAGAGAAGTGGATAAATGGATAAACAAATCACTACAGAAACCATAAATCTTCACTAAGATACCATATGGTTCTTATTTAAAATCTAAATGCCTGAGCAGCTTCCCAGCTGCTACTTTGCAAACAAGTCCTAAAAAGCCATAGCAGTTAACAATCTGTTGTCTGGGTCATTGTTTATAACTGCCCCCCAAAACAGTGCCCCATAGCTTGACTCACTGGAGAAGAGCCTAATGCTGGGAAAGATTGAGGGCAATAAAAGAATGGGACGACAGAGAATGAGGTGGCTGGCTGGAGTCACTAAAGCAGTAGGCGTGAGCTTAAATGGACTCCAGAAGATGGTAGAGGACAGGAAGGCCTGGAGGAACGTTGTCCATGGGGTTGTGATGGGTCGGACACGACTTTGCAACTAACAACAACATAGCTTGATTGAAAGAGCCTCCAGTCATGGTGAGATGCCTCCTAGGTCGGTATCCAATCACTTCAGGAGATACTGATAAACTGACTTTTTTCTCTGGAAGATATGAAGGGATGTTCAAAAAGGCATGTGGTTGAAGTCAAGTATTTTTATTTTGTAGTTTTATATTTCCAGAACACGCTGTTTGTTAAGTTATTGTTCATTATGTATTTTAACCAATTTCTTACTTGCTGACACACTAGTACAGTGATGGTGAACCTTTTAGAGACCGAATGCCCAAAAACCGCCTTGCCCCTACCCCGTCCCCATGTCTCCTGCCCGCAGGGCCACCCACCACCTCCACGGCCCGCCACAGCAGATCGCCCAGGCGGCCCAGCAGTGTCATGGTGGCCACGCCCTCTGTCCGTGCCCCGCAGCATCATCTGCACGCAACGGGACGCGAGGGCGGAGTCTTGTCTCCGCCACCTGGTTGCCATGTCCTTGGCTGTACTGCTCTGCACAAGCTGCATCTGGGGCGACTCTCCTCCAGGGGGCTGCTGTGAGGAGGGGGCCACGCAGGGCTGGGGCGATGACGAGCGTGCCCTCAGAGAGGGCTCTGAGTGCCACCTCTGGCACCCGTGCCATAAGTTCGCCACCACTGCACTAGTAGATAGTTTTTTTCATAAGTAGGAAGCATATTTCCAAACCTTTCCCCGTATTCCCCATATTTTTAATTTCAAAATGGTATCTCTTGGGAGGCAGAATCAATTTCTGTTTGATCAACAGTCTGCCCATCATGATTGCTAAAAAAAGTCATGAAATTGACTGTGAAAATTAGTTTCAGGGATGGGGAGAGGGGGAGTGTTAGCTGGGTTTTGTTTCTTAAGCAGCTTCCCTCACTGCTTTTGAAACCTCTTGCTTGTGATTTTCTCAGAGGCACCTGAGACAGATGCGGGATACACAGCAGTAGACAAATTGGAGCCTGGAGCTTAGAGACAAGTTAGCACCTGGCTTAAGCAGCAACTAAGCCCAGTTATCACTTCTTTATTATGTGATAAATTCTTTAGATTGCACCAGATATTTCTTTATAGAGCTCTCCCATTCCAAGTAGTAATAATTTCCCAATGTCCCTCCCCAGTTCAGCTGCAGAAATTGCCCCCCCAAAACCTCAGCCTCTCCCCCCCCCAATCAGCCCCATTTTTCACATGCTAATGTTTCTGGTTTTCCTTCATTGCTAGTGTCTCAGCATAAAACACAATGCAACAAAATTTACAAACTAATAGGCAGTAGGTACCTTTTAAAAGTGTCAACTCCAAGGAATTTTGATGTACTACCCTGCCTTCACTTTCCTCTTCATACTAATGAGGTAACTATGCTGGTGTGCAAACAGCATTCAGATTTAGTTGATACTGGCACTTGGAGAGTGAAAACTATAATCCTTTTTCATGTAGGTACTGTAGTATGTGGTTTGAGCCTTTTAAAGAGTAACAAATATCTTGTACCAGCTTTCTTTCTCCTGTTCTAATCTAAAATTTAGATAAAAAAATACTAGCATTCCCAGTCTTACTGGCAAGCAGCCTTGCTGATTGGGAATTCTGATACTGTTTTCCAGGTTATTTGGAAAATGTCAGGTTGGTGAAGAAATTCATCAGGTTATGGTTTCTTTTTTTACTTAAATCTTTTGAACTTCCTCAGTACGGTGATGCTGTGAGCTGTGTGATTGGCACATACAGGTAGTCCTCAACTTATGACCACAATTGCGCCCCAAATTTCTGTTGCTAAGCAAGACAGTTCTTTAGTCCGTTTTGCCCCATTTTATGACCTTTCTCGCCACAATTGTTAAGTGAATCACTGCAGTTATTAAGTTAGTAACATAGTTAAGTGAATCTGGCTTCTCTGTTGACTTTGCTTGTCAGAAGGTCGAAAAAGATGATCCCGTGCTTCCTGGAGCACTGAAGTTGTCATAAATACATGTCGGTTGCCAAGTGTCTGGATTTTGATCACATGACCCTGGGGATGCTGCAGCAGTTCTAAGTGTGAACAATGGTCATCAGTCATTTTGTTTCAGTGCCATTGTAACTTTGAATGGTCACTAAACAAATGGCTGCAAGTTGAGGACTACCTGTAAAGCCTTAAGGGGGTAGATTGATCAGCAATAATGGCGTAGGAAATTGTATGTGTTAGCTGAGATGTCATTTGTTTATGTCTGTATAATGATCAGAAGGATGACTAGAATTCTGAAATGAAGTTCTCTTCCCTGCCTTAAGAAGTTTGGCTGGAGTATAGCAGCTATTGAAAAGGAATATGCTAGTTGTTGCCGTGGGAATATAGATTTATATTAAAGATAATATAAGATTCAGCATTAATTGCTATTGCATATTCATTTGCAATCCAGCACAGTATTTTGCCATAGCATTATCTGAAGGGCATTTTTGATACAGTAAAACGTTTTTGTGACTCTAATCTTAATCCTCATCCTTGCCTTTGTTTAAAATCCAATCTAATCATTTTTGGGATATACCCAAAATCCATATCCAACCTTTCTGTCAATTAAAATCACCTTGAAAATTGTCCTAGTTTGTTCTATTTCAGTGGTTCTCAATTTTTAATGCCGCGACCCCCAACCGGTCGTAAGTCTACTCAACTGGTGCAGCACCGTTTGCAGAATGGGACTTTTGGCGGGCTCAGCAGGGCAGAGACAGCCTGGACAATTCCAATTGGCTTTTGAAAGACAATAGAATTAGACTCTATTCAAGAAACTAAAAGGGAGTAGCACAGCTAAGGAACAGGGGAAAAAAATGGCGGACTGCGTTGTTTGACGACTCCCGTGAAATGGTCGTTCGACCCCAAATGGGGTCACGATCCACAGGTTGAGAACCGCTGTTCTATTTCATTTAGACTAGAGCAATTCATTCATGTCACCTAGGAAATTTGAATACTGAGTTCAGTTCTTGCTACCTGAGAGTTTTTCATGCACAAAAATGTTCTAACTGGTGACATTTACTTCCCAGTTGCTAATTTGCATAAGCATTATTGTGGTGCAATTTTTCTCAATTGCTCCCTTGTTGAAAACATCTTTGCTCAGAGATACGCAGTTGATAAATTGGTCCTATCTTTGAGTCTCCCTAAGGAAAAGTCACACCATTTAAATAACCTGCATAAACTAGGTAGGGGATTAATCTGTTTCTGCAGAATAAATTAAACTAAATTTACCCAACAATCTAGATCCATAAAACATACTAAGCCTTAACCACTAAATAAATTTGCACCTTGTACCAATGCTGCTGTTAAGTCTTTAGTTGATCAAGATAAGTGTGTGTGTAAATAGGGCCTCTTATCCACAGGCATTCCTCTGGTTTTATACCACAGATAGATGGGCTTTTTATTTAGTTAATGAGTGTCTGTGAGATGATCTATTAGAAATTTTTAAGTAACTGATTAAGAAATTAGTAATTTTCCCTCAAAGCTAGAGAGACTGTTCTGTAATGAAATTCTGTGTAACTAGTAATGAACTACTAAAATTGCATTCAGTTTTACCTTGAGCCTGATTTGATCAAACAATTTGAAAATCTGAAGCAAGCCACAGAATGTTGAATTGAAAACTTGGGTTAGAAAGTATGAAGAGTTATAAGATTGAGAAGTATTCAACTATATTGGCTGGGCTTCCGGGGAACTATATAGTCCCAGCAAATCTGGAGGGCACCAGATTGGAAAAGTCTGGGCTAAAATGGGAAGTTGTGAGAAGCAGGAAGTCAAAGAGAAATTTGGATGTTGAAGCAACCCAAGTTTGCCAACTTGAGTGATGCTGCAACTGCAAATATGAAGACAGTTAGCAAAGAGAATACTGTATTCTTGTTTGCAGTTCCTTTTTTGTATATTTAATTGAGCAAGGGGAAAACACTTTGGGACTGGCCTTGCTTATTAGCCACTGGTGTCACATTTTCTTTTTCTGTATATATTAATGACCGTATTGTGGCACAGTTGCTGGTAACTACTTCTCTCTTGCCTCCTTTTACTGTGTTCTGACAAAAACTAAGTGGGATGTTACTTTGAAAAAAGGGTTTTTTATATACGGTATATTCTAGTCACACTCCACTTGGTTTCTGAATGCACTGGAGTAGACGTGGAGTGTATAATGGCAGAGGCCACTTTTCATTTTAGCTAAGACTTATCATGACTTTGCATATGTGTCAGAACATTTTACTAACTTGCCTATTATAGTCATGTAGGAAATGTTGGCTTGGAAGAAAGCAGAGAGGGAAATGCCGATTCGCTTACTCTTCAAAAACTGCTGCCTGTCAGAAAAGGTTCTTGTTTGTGTTTGAATGTAAAAAAAAATATCACCAGAAAACAAATGGAAAATATTCAGTTCGGCTTTAAGGTCTTGCAGCAATTTATTGTGGGGGGAATTAATGAGCTGATGGTTTTTAAGAGCATAGAGAAGATTTCATGCTTTATTGTAAGAAGTTCTCTGACAAATCACCTACATACTGCAACGATGCTACAGTTTTGCATTATATTTCTACAATGTGCAGGAGCCTTAACATAAGATGGCACCCATCACATTGTGGTATGTCAGTAACAGCTGGCAGCACCTGGCCCAGTGTTTCTCAACCTTGACCATTTTAAGGCATGTGGACTTCAGCTCCCAGAATTCCACAGCCAGCAATGCTGGCTGTGGAATTCTGGGAGTTGAAGTCCACATGCCTTAAAATGGTCAAGGTTGAGAAACACTGAGTCCTAGCCAGTCTTGGATGATTTCAATGAAAAGTTGATCTTGTTAATATATAGATGGAAAATCCCAGGAATGCCCAGGTCTATAAGGAAGTCAGGAAAGGTAAAAAAAAAAAAAAAAAAATGCTGGGAGAAGCAATCCGTTTTCTACTATATTGCTACCAAGAAAATACATGGATAGGTAGTTATTGGAAATCAAGGTCAAATTTACCTTTGATGCAACTGTTGGCAATGAAAGTTCTACATTTGTCATTGGGGGAATATGGCCGTATTGTTTTTTATTGACTATACAGCATGATAGCTGCTTCAGCTACGTTTTATGCATTGTTTACAGAGGATTCTCGCTGAATGGATAAAGGAAGATAATTTCAAATCAGTTAAAGTTGATTGACTGGTATGATGTAGTTTAAAATGGAAGCAAAGATTTACAGGTTCCAAAACAGTGCATCTTTTTTTCTTTCTCTGTTCTCTTTTTTTTCCCCTTCCCCCCCCCCTTCTCTTGTTTTATTCATGTTCTGGTGTGGGTAGCCACTATTCAGCTTTCTTTGAATCAAGATCTTTAACAGATGTTTGTGAGCCCATTTATTATACAGGTTTGGAATGCTTGGGGTTGCATCCTAAACACACCTGGAGGGCACCTAATGCCTCTATTCAATCTCCCTATCTCACCATCAGTACCCAGAAACTTTCCTTCCTTCCTAGCCTTTCCCCATTAGTATTTTTAAAAAAATCCCGTCCTGGCTGCTGTATGTGATGGAAGATGAAACTGTTTCCTAGGGAATAAATTATTAGGAGACTGCTGATTGCAAAGAGTATCGCCTTATACTGTATATACAAAAATGTCAGAAATGTACTTAATTGGCTCCAAAGCAGGTTAACAGCACAGGAAACTGGCTATATTTCTTCCCTGGTGCCTACTTGGATGCAGCCTATCATGAGGATGTGGCTGGGCTGCCTGTTTCCTGTTCTTCAACTGTTGAAGCGTGGCACAGAGCCAATCATACTCAGCATGGTATGAAGCCAGGTGCTGACATCACACTGCTGGCAAAGTTGAGGGTGACTCCTTCTCCTTTTCCTTTCCTTGCTGTTTTCCAGAAATAGGATTTCAACAACTATGCTTCAATACAGCAGTAGAGAAAATTCTCAGTATTGCTGAAGTCAAGCAAAGCCTTCTGCAAATGTTACAAAATCAGGATCAATCCCTAATATGCCCGGTTTGTTGAAGACCTTACTCAAATGATGTTAGTCTCCTATAGAGGAAATCTTTTGTACACATGTTGACTTTTATAGGAACCAGGATCCTGAGGAGCCAGGAGAGTTTTTGTCTTGCAGATATCGTCTTTGAATACTTACCTATCTGCACAGATGGATCATTTGAGAAATATTGGCATGTGGTGAGCCTTCCTGACATTTGTACTACATTAACAAAGCATGTAGAAATAATATTGAACATATTACAGTGTAGATAATTATAGCTTTTTATTGTATATAATGTTAAAACATTTCAATGTAAAGTTAACTGCTATAATATCTATATAGGGTGCCATAACATTTGAACAGTTTAGATATTATTGACTTCTACATTGACTTTACTTGAAAATTCTAAGTTGTAAGCAAACTTTGTCCTAAGAACCTTACTATTTTTATATAACCCCTCTAATATTGACTGCTGTCCAGGAAAGGCTAGCATCTGCCTAAGTGCAATAGAGCTACCAAACTGGTACTGGACTGACAATTTGGGGTTCTAAGCTAGACAGCAACAAGGTCCACAAATGTTGAGCAGCTGCTTCTGTATTAGGTATTTATTCTCAAATTGCCTCTCATGTATTTGAGAGTGCTGCTGTGATTTTCCCATCTCTTTGAAAAAAGATTAATTTCAAAAATGCTGAGTAATCAAGATAGTTGTCATAGCAGCATGATCAGAACACTGCTTCTTTTTGCTCATGTGTTTTTTTGACCATTTCCAGCAAACACCACTGAAAAGGCAGAAGAGGAGGATTAAGCCAGGAATCCATACTTATACAAGCCAAACTGTCATTCTAATATTTCTGAAAGTATCATTTGAAAAAGAGGAGAAAATCATAATCACATACAAATGTGGAATCTGCTGTGTCTTTCTGTAAAGTCTCACTGTTAATGTTTGTATGGTTGTTTAAAGCTGCCAGTCTTGGATGTCAGACTCTGCATTTCACCACACAATTTAATGTGTACACTCTTTTAATGTATACTTTTTGCCCATTAAAACTATGAAAATGTTCATGCATATGTATACAAAAAGTGCTTTTGTTTACCTTTCAAGTAAGTTGTGTCAAACTCTTGGAGTCTGCCTGGCAAGTCCAGTTTTTCAGGAGAGGTTTGCCATTTTCTGCTTTCTAGGGCTAAGAGAAAGAGATTAGCTCAAGGTTACCCAGCTGGCTTTGTGCTTTAGGCAGAACTAAAATCCCAATTTCTAGCCTAATGCCTTAACCACTACACCAAACTAGATCTCTGTAAAATGCTTATTCCTTTCAAAATATGGGAAATTAATTTACATCTCACCGTATAAGTTGGGAGCACACTTCCCTGTTTCTCACAGAGTTAGAGGAGAGAAAACTTACTCAACGTGTGATGAGTAATCATATTACCAACATTGCATTAACTTAATTTTAATTAAATATGAAAATTAAAATTTAGTCACTTCTGCTCTCTACCTTACTTATCTTTTTACTGCTGTTTCCAATACACCATTCAAAGTGTAGCACAACCCTTGGCATAAACTGCCTTAGCTTGAAACAGTCTCATGATCCATGGCTAATAGTAGCACCATATCTACCTTACAGATCGGCAAAGATAGAAGTGGTTTATTGCTAAGTTAGCTAACATCCAGTATTTAATCTAGGTGAGAAGCAGTCTGATGTAGTGGTTAAGACTTCAGGAGGGAGCCATCTTGAAAAATACTGAATCCAAGGGTTTTCAAACACACATGCTATAGCACAAGTGAGATGGTTGTAAAGAGGAAGGCTAAGAGTGTGAAAAGGCCAGAACTGAAGTGTGGTATTTTGTGCTAGCAAAACTATGTCATTTTTCAAACTATGTGACTGTGAGATACATTATTGGTTCATATAAGTGTTGACCTGTAGCCTGAGTGAAGAAGCAATTGGAAAACCTAGCTGGGATTTATTAATTGCTTGAATTGAGTTGTTTCAAAATGAGATGGGTTGCAAATAAATCAACCGAACAAACATAAAATTAAAGACAATGAAAAAAGCTCTCTCTTATGGAATCCAGTTTTTTTCTTTGTATCGTTTTAGGAATCAAACATTTATACTTCCTTGGGAACCAAACAAATATTTCCCTCAATGTAATTTGGCTAAAGCAGAAAAGCATGCAAATAAGCTAATTTTGCATACTTGTAATTTACACATTTGGTTGCTACATTTTAAACCTATATTCCATGCAGAAACTAGACTTGGAGAGATACAGAGCACCAAGGTGATGCTTAGAGATAGAAGGACATGTTTGAGAAAAGAGAGCATTGCAGACATGAAAGAGTACCAAGAACTCAGCTTGGCCCCTTTGACTGAACCCTGCAGTAAAACATTTCAGATTATCAAAAATTCCAGGTTTTGTTCCTGAAATTAAACTCTATCTCATATATTCCAATTAATGGAGAGTGAACAGATCCCTTTGCCAAGGATTTAAGCCTGTGTGGGAAAGGACAGATTAATAGTGAAGCAAATCAGATTTGGTCAAGATGATCAGATTGAATCAGTCAGGTCACTGAAGTCAGATCCAGCCTAGCTCAGGTCAATCAGATTAAAGACAAGTCTTGGTAAACATGCACAGATCAAGACAAGCTAAGTCACTACTGGCTTTGAATGTCACCTGAGCAGCTAATCAGAACTGTAAGATGTTCTAAGAGTGTCCAGTTAGCTCAGCTGGAAAAAGATATAAGCTTGGTTCACAGATATCACGAAACCTTTAATAGACAGCTTTTCACATTATGCTAAAGTCAAAAGCGTACATTGTAGATTAGTGTTATGTGGATATTATAGTCTCCACAAAGAACTTTAATCAACTGAAGTCTTAAAAGATTGCCCAAAGTTTGGTTTTTCAGTGTGTTTACCTGTGTTGGATACCATTCTTAAAGGGTCTAAGGATCTTCAGGCAGTCTCTGTCTGTATGGCTGAAGGATTGAAGAAATGTGACTCTTTTTGTATTGTTTTCTATACAATACTATACAGTATCACAAATTATTTGGTTTTCTGGAATGCATTTGAGGAGTGATGTTGAATGCTTACCATAGCTTGTACAACTTTATCCCCTGGTCCCACACAATACTCTATAAAACATTGCATGATTCTTCCAGCAGTAATGTGATGTGCTCAGATCCTCCATGTTTTTTGTCCAATGTTCTGTCCTAATTTTTCTCTAATGCTTTGAGAAGCTGACTTTTAAAACTTTTGCATTCATGAATAGATGCAGCCCTGAAAGGAAATATGGGATGTTATAGAAAATGAACAATTATAACAAAAGTTTCTGCTTTTTGTATGGCATCCTAATATGGTCATTACTGGAAAAATAAAGAAAACACACCTATCCCTCCCATTGGTGACTAACACTTTTTATCTATACTACTTATAACTTTCCTATAAAGATTATGAGAAAGTAACTTAAGGAGTGCATCTAAGAATGATTTCATATAGGGTATATAGAACTTCAACTAGAATCTTGTGTACTATACAGAACCCAAGACATGTTGTAGACAAACATATTCAAATATATATGGAAGAATGGTGTTGCAGTTAGAACAAATGGAGATTTTGAAGTCTCTGAACTTTAGAATTAATCATTTATGTAAATATTTTTCCTGTTACCTTACAACTACAAATTCATCAAGCCAGCTTGCCCAATAATAAACATAGTACATTTCTGTGTGGCATACAGTACTATAAGCATTAAAATAGCAGCCCATTCTTTAAAAGAGAAAAATGAAAATGATATAAAAAATAGAATTGTAGCCTTTATGATACGTGAAGATTTGTAGGGTCCTCTGTAGCTGTATTTTTGGTTTACAATGCAATTTATGCATTTCTAGTTTTATCTTAGCTTTAAAAGTCACTGCATTTAGGATGGGAGTTTTACAGAAAAGAAAGAAAAAATCATCTTTACTTTGAATGATCTTAACTTCATGAATAAATTGTTTTATATATAAGGAGTTGAACTCTATAAAAACAAGTTTGAAGGAACAAAGACATTTTTTACTTTTAATTCTACCCTGGCTCTTAGGCAAGCTGTTGAAAAACTGCTTACAGTAAGAAAGTTAAAAATAATACTATAATAGGATGAGCAACCAAAAAAGCATCAACTAAAATTGGATATAGCTGCTGGCAATATATTAAATGAAAAGCTTAAAAGAAAATAGTCTGTAGGCCTCTTTAAGAGCTCCATGCAAATGGCTATAAGCAGTCCTGAGAATGGCAAGTATGAACCAGATTCTTTTCTCCTAGCTTTCTTGACCTAATGTGGAACAGCTAGAGGGACTAATAAACCAATTTATTATAACTATATTATCCAGGGATTAATGGATCCTTAGAGCAGGGCTTTTCAACCTTTTCACCCATTGTACCACTTTTAGGATATGGCAATATCCGAGTACTACCATTTGCCTAGCAAGGTGTCAAAAACTTGACCAAAAAAAAAAGGAAAAAAGTGATAAAGTACAGGTAGTCCTTGACTTACAACAGTTTGCTTAGTAACGGTTCGAAGTTACAATAGCCCTGAAAAAAGTGCCCCCCAAGCCACAGCTGAGCAAGACACCTGCCTGCCCACCCAGCGGCGCTCTTCCTCCTGTTAGAGGTTTTCATTGTTGTGAGCATTTCTGTTGAGGATTGGCATCAGGGGTGGGGTGGGGGGTGTTTGGTTTTTATTCCTCCCGTCTGCTGGGTGGTTGCAGCAGATTTTGGTCACTTCACATGACCCATGGACACTGTGACCATCATAAATATGAATCAGCTGCCAAGCATCTGAATGTAAAACAAGACCCTGGAGATGCTGCAGCATTCCAGCTGATTGGCGCTTCTTCTGGGCTCAACAGAAGCGCCAGGATCAGCGCCAAGCTTCAGCTGGAGCCTGGCACTGATCCTGGCACTTCCACTGAACCCTGACAGCCCTGTAGCTTCAGCCATCTCTTGCTCAGGCTTGTGCGGTGCTGCTACTGGTTCAGCTCATTCCCCTCCCCCACTACCACTTTTCTAGGAAGGTCGCATACCACCTGCCAGGTGCCAATGTACCACAGGTGGTACCTGTACCACTGGTTGAAAAGCCTTGCCTTAGAGAAGCTGGTTCATTATTTAGAAAATTGGAATATAGTGAAACTGTTGCTAAACTATATTTCCACCACAAGCATTCAAATGGCTGCATAAAGACCAGACTAACAGAATACAATAGTCTATTCTCATAACAGAGCCAGTTTGGTGTAGTGCTTTAAAACAGTAGGCTAGACCCTGATAGACCGGTGAGCTCTAGTGTTGCCTTAGATACAAAGCCAGTTGTGTGGCTTTGTACAGCCACTTTCCCCAGCCTTAGGAAGAAGACAATGGCCTTCTGAGAAAAATCTTACCAAGAAAACTGCTAGGACTTTCCAGGCACTCTCCAGGAGTTGAAAATTGACCTAGACACATAGACACAGGAAGAAAAAGAAAAAAAACTCATAGCAGCCCACCTGCCTGTAAATAAACAAAATGAGTTAATAATTGTCCTAATTCACTTAGCTCATTAGTGATTGTATTTTATATATCTAAACATATATTGTTAATACAGATCTTAAAATATATGCTTGACTTCTTCCAGCTGTGTTGACCTTGGGCAGTCCCTTTTAAGTTTCTCCTCAAAGTTTGGGGAGAGGGTGTTTTCAAGAACTCACAGAATTAAATTTAAACTGCATCTAAATATTAACTGCAGGATTAAGTTAAGTATGCTTAATGTTCTTTACTCTTACACAGAAAGCTGGGGATCCTACTGGGACAATTTGAAGAGAGCATTAAAAAAAAACCCTTTTTCTTGCAACTTAACAACTAGAACAGCTAAAATTGCCCAGCATTGTTATTTATATTACAAAGGAAGCTTCCATTGGTGCTCACTCAGTTAAAATATATGTGCCTTAACTTGTGTGAGCAAACATTTAAGTACATAGGAAAGGAAAATTGCAATTAATTCAGGTTCCTTTTAGGAACAATCTGCAGAGTCTAAGAGTCGGTTGGAATTTGGCAGCATCCAAATTGAATAAAATAATAATCAAAGTAATTAATTTCAGGTGAATATGTTAAGCAAGAAATGAACCTCTGCAAAATCCTTTCGGATTGAGGGCCTTAATGCTGTTCTGGGTGGGCATGTGACATATGCTTTAATCTGCAAATAGCATCAGGGCCTTAGTGCAGGTTGGCAAAATTATTTTACAGTCCTTGTACACAGGCTTAATTTTCTTCTTTAGAGGTACACTGTGAATAGGAGTTGGCCAACATATTCCAGCTCCTTCTGTTGCCTGCAAGTGCTCTTCCAGTGTGAAGAGTTAACTGCGATTTAACAAAGTTGGAATCTCTTTTCATGCACCCGTTCTTAAAAGAGTAGTGATTTAAATCTTTAAGAGTACTGTTCAACTCTGGTGTCTGAAACAATAGATGGTTTTAAGGTTATGACATCGTTAAGCCATAAAATCAGCTGATCATCATCTTGCCAATGTGGATGGAATATGAATGTAGATAGAATATTCTAATTTGGTTTATGAAGAAACAAGATATCTTATTGGAAACATGTAACTAAAAATGAAGGTAGAAATGTATTACCTTACATATCTGCTAAGGCAGTGTTTCCCAAACTTGACAATTTTAAGGCATGAGGACTTCAACTCCCAGAATTCCACAGCCAGCAGCGCTGGCTGTGGAATTCTGGGAGTTGAAGTCCACATGCCTTAAAATTGTCAAGTTTGGGAAACACTGTGCTAAGGTATTTCATTTTCAGGCTAACCAAAGTTATGCATTTAGTCTTTGATGAGCTTCCACCACTAGGTGACCACTAGTGTGTGTAACACACAATAATATATAAATTCTGGAATTTGTATCAGCAATTTTGAAGACTAGGATCACTTTTGATATTATGAAACGGAAGAAGATTTCTCTGTTTTCACTAATATCATAAATATTTGTATCAGCTATGCTGATGAGCTGACAACTGGGACCACAGTTCTCTTTCTTGTAGCAATGCTTCCAAACCTCAAGAGAATTTAAAAACAATTGCCAACACTTTGAAGAACATAACTTCAACACAGCATTGAGAGTTCTGCCAGTGGATGTCTTCTGGCATCACAAGACGTTTTCTCTTTCTTAGACTTTCCCACAACAATCTAAAATATGCCTCTGAACCAATTTTAAGGGCATCTGGGCAGGGGAAAAGAAGATGCCCACTCCTCAAGCTACTCACAGCATCACTTCTGTCAGTAAAGGATTAGATTCCATCCAGCTTCTGTTTTCTGCCCGGCTTGGGGTGAAAAAAAATCAAACCCCAACTTCACTCAGAAAATATTAACTTAGCTTGGATTTTATAACCTACATTTCTAGGGACTTCCCTCATTCTTGGTCAGTTGATTTCAGATTTTGCCCCTGATTCTCTGCATCCCAGAAAAAGTAAGAAGAAGAAGAAGGGGAGGGAAAGAGCTGCTTATGAATTAGTTTAGAAGATTTAAAATTCTTTGCACAAAAGAACACAGTAGTTGAATATGTGTTAGAAGACATTGAAGGAGTCATAAATAAGATCCTTTTTAGAACCATTTGTCTTTTGATTTTCTTGCACTCTGTAAACTAGAGTTGTAAGTGATTGTAAATACCATAATCTGCAGTTCTCACAGTCTCTTATCTGCAGTTGTTGAGAATTCAGACCCAACAGTTCTCCCCAGGCATAGTTGGAAGCAGCAGGATTGATCAATAATTGAATCTGAGGTTTGATGAGGAAAACGCTATGTACAGATTGTGTGACTTATTAAAGACATATTTGGAAACTGTACTTTTAAAGAAGACCTTAACATTTTAATACTTTTTTAAATGATTAACTGTTACATTGTGTGTTTATTTTTGTCATTGTTAATTTGATTTGTAACCCCACTTTTCTATCCTGTTAATTCTGTTTATGAGAAAATTCACTCATCTAATAATCGAACTGACTTGGAGCCCTGCATCAATTATGATAACAAAGATTGCCTCAGTGTTTCACTTCATTTCTGTTGTCAGTGCCAAGCTGTATGATAGAATCACAAATGCATTTTCATATTTTTATTCTGTGATCAAGAGGTGCTGTACCTGAAGTATATTGCAAATGTTACGATAAAATGCACTGAGTGGGGATGGAAGAATATATTTATTTGGGCATTAATGGAAGATTAATTCAGTAGCCCTTGCATGAATGTGTTTTAACTGTCTTCTGGATCTCAAGTTCTGAGACAGGAAACTCTTTGGGTTTGCAGAAATTTGAATAAAAAGGATCTCAGGAAAACAAAAGGTCTTCCTAAAGTCTATTGCTTGGAGTAAAAAGCTGGGAGGAGGGAAGACATTTACATGTCTAATTATTCTAGGATACAGAAAACCTGCAAACAAACATTTATATGCATCAGAAAGAAAATAATCAAACATAAAAACCCATTTTTCCATTCTCAAGTTGTTTTTATCCAGAAAATACGTAAGCTCTTGGTTGTATTGGTTTAGATAAAAGAGGAAGGGTCAAAGAAGAATTATTGGCTAACAAGCACCTTTTGGATACAATGCAATGCAATGCAAAAAGTATCAGAATTAAGATTTCATCCTGACCAGTATATCACACACGCACACACATACTTAAAATTATGCATGCTTATTTATTCGATGTTAAATACTCATGAGAAGCAGGTGAAATGCCTGGATTGTTAATTCTGAAGAGCACAAGAATTTTGGGCCTGTCATCCATGATTGGATGAATTCTGAAATCTATATGCTATATATTATATACACAAGCAGTCCTCGTTTAACGACTATTCATTCAGTGACTTTGTTTTGAAGTGACTGCAGTGTGCACTTCAGCTCCCCCCATCTGTCTAGCTCCTCCCATCACTGCACTTTTGACTGCTCTTCACTCTGATACTCCTGTCGCCCTGCACTCTGACTTGCACCTTTTAGCTGTCCATCAACATTTTCTTCTTCCCCTGCTGATGAAATGCGCCCAGCAGAGGCAGCTGCTGGCCCTTCCTGAGGCCTTGCAGTGCCTCCCCAAAGCCTCCATGAGGCCTTACAGAAGCACAGCGAGGCCTTGTAGGAATTGTAGCGAGTGTTGCGAAAGGTGTGCCTCAGGAACAGGCAGAGGAAGGAGACAGCAAAAGTCAGCTTGAGGCTGTGGGGTTGGTGGTGGTGGCAGGGTAAGTGGCAGCAGCGGAGTGGGGGGGGGGATAAAAGGCTGAGGGGGGGGGAGATAGCAGAGGTGAGTGTAGCAGGGCAGCAGAGCTTCATCTTCTGAAGGGATTTTGCTGCCCCGGGTCTTTAAATGAGGACTTTTGTTACTTTAAACAGCTATTTTTGTATTAAAGTCTGTTTTTACTTTAAAGTTCATTCTTACAATGGACAATGGCTTCCTGATAACTACTGCAAAGGGATAAAGTGGATTTGAGCACAGTTTTGATTTCCCCCCCACCTTGCCTCTGTCAAGAATGAAACAGCAGAATTGAAAGTGGGCTTGGCACATGTTGCATTGTAGACAAATTCAGGAAACAGGTTGCAAGTATATCAACTGAAGCACCAGAGGAAATAGTGAAACACAGCCTTCCTTAGGCTAGATTAGTAGCCCTTAATTCACATAAACAGTAGTTGTGCTGGTTGTACATGATAAGATTTGCAGTTTGTGCACATTTGGAAGGTGCCAAACTCCCCTAAATATGGTGTTAGTCAGTAAATTCTTTTCAGAAGTAAATTCTCCTCAGTCCTCTTTCACTGTTTATCATGACTGGAAGTACTATAGAAAAGTGTCTAGAAGTACTATAGAAAACATGGTTTCCTTTAGCAACTTTCAAAACTACCGTTTTAATGAGAAGTTTTTTAAAATATATATTTCTTCTCCCCCCCCCAAAAAGAGGAAATATTCCCATTTTAACTTCTTTACAAGCTGCTTTAGTGCTAAGGTAATAAAGATTGACTGAATAAAAACAGTAGAAAAAAAGATTTTCCTCATATAACAAATCTGGTATTTATTTTTAAAATATTTTCAAATATTATTCTGTCCAAGCTATTTATTTATTTTTTCTTTCTTTAATTGAAATACGCATTTATGAATGACAAATACATTTTAATTTGATGCATATGAAAGGATTTATAGTGATGGTTTCCATTTATTTCCATTGTTTCCTCATTGGGGGTCTTCATAATTTAAATATTAATGCATTTGTTCTTGCTTATACTGGGAAATAAATAAGGAGGAACAAGGTCAGTTCAAAGTTAATGGTTTAAGGCTTCTTGTTAGTGCTGGAGTCTCACCAATGTTTGCACACTGCATGATACTGAAATGGATTTGCCATCTCTCTTATTCAGAGTTAATTTCATAAATAACAACTTGGAGATTCCAGTTGCTCCAGTTGCTAAAAAAGAACATACATCTGAGAAAAGATACTCAATACTCGCTACTTTCTATTTCAATGTACTTATAAGCACACATAAGGGCCACTTCATTGTAAAATAAATATACAATGTTGCACAATTTTAAAACAGAAACTTAATTCACTTTAGAGAGATTTTTCTCAGTGTCAGATTTTTAAGCTGTCTGTTTTCCTTTAGATGTGTAATTGGTACCTTTTTTTTTTTGCTGTCATTACTCCTTTAGATCCTACACTAGCACCCATCCACCCTCAAGCAATCTGATTACCAACAGAAAATAAAAGCTTTGCCTCATATACTTGGTCTGGCAGTTTTCAGATGGAAATCGGCAAAAGAAAAAGGAAGATAGGAAGGAAGGAAGGAAGGAAGGAAGGAAGGAAGGAAGGAAGGAAGGAAGGAAGGAAGGGAAGTTCTAGCAGATTTTACTCTGCTAGTCATTGCCGACTATAAGGGGCAAGGATTTCCTTGAAAAACTCTTTCAGTGAAGCTCATGATCTTCATTTTCGAAAGGTGGTGGATATTTTGACTTTCCACAAACTGATGATCTTGGAGACAACAATCTCTTCATCCCTCAGCAGCAGGTAGTTATACTGTGTAATTGTGTTGCTGTACAGCCAGCATTATTATCAAATAACACACATACAGCTTTAACATAAAGAAATGTAATCATCATCTATATTACTGTAGTCTTTTTTTTAAAACTTGCAACTTTTAAAATGTGGACTTCAACTCCCAGAATTTCCGAGCCAGATGCTGGCTGGGGAATTCTGGGCAGTTGAAGACCACACACCTTAAAGTTGGCAAGATTGAAAATCTATTCATCTATATAATTGGGTGTGGCACATACAGTCTTTTCTTTTTAGTGTCATGGGTTTAAGTGGAACGCAATTAGAACTCATGTTTACTTATTATTTGGATCCACCTTACTCTGCTCCAAACTGGGACAATCTGGATGAGTTACTGTGTTACACTGTTACCGTAGCAGCTAACCTCAGCTTTATGTGCTTCACTTCAACTAAGAGTTGACTATTTTTTTTCACCTTGAAATGTTATTTTCTAATATATATATAAAGATGAGAAGACAATGTTTTAAAGATGATGATGTATAATTCTTAGCAATAAATGTTAGTAACTAGCGGGGGTGTAAACTCGTCATGTGACGTGTCGTGACGTATCACAACTTTTTCCCCATTGCCGGATCTGGGGTGGGTGCGGTTTTGGCATGATGCATCCGGCCCGCGGGCCGGCAGTTTGACGCCCCTGGTCCATAGTAACCAAAAGTAGGAAGAGTCTGGTAGTATCAATTTTTTTTACTAACAACTTGTAGTAAAATATATTAGCTTTCCTAAGCTGCAGCTCAGGAGACCTTACCAATAAATACAACATTTTTAAGAACAAAACTCTTAAATATCTAGGTTTAGTTTGACAGATGAAAATCTATGTGGTTTGACCTCATTCAATCAGTAAATATTAGTGATCCCTTTTTTTATATCAGTATCCCTCTCCTCCATAAATAGTAGCAGCCTGAGGCTGACATACACATATATACAAACAAATAAATACAGTTCATTTTTGACACAAAACATAAAACAATCCTGCCCTGAATCTTTGGCCCCTGAAATAGGTACTTTCTCTTTACAATTTTGTTTAATTTCAGGGAGTCTTCGACTTATGATTATAATTGAGCCAAATTTTTTGTTGCTGTTTTTGTTGTTTAAATGAGCTTTACCCAATTTTGCAACCTTTCTTGACATAGTTGTTAAATGAATCACTGCAGTTGTTAAGTTAGTAACACGGTTGTTAAGTGAATCTGGCTTCCCCATTGACTTTGCTTGTCAGAAGGTTGCAAAAGGTGATCACCTGATGCTGGGACACTGCAACCATCATAAATATGAACCAGTTGCCAATTGTCTGAATTTTGATCACGTGACCATGGGGATACTGCAATGATTATAAGTGTGAAAAGCAGTCATAGGTCACTTTTTTCAATGCTGTTGTAACTTTGAATGGTCACTAAACGAACTGTTGTGAGGACTACCTATATCAGTGATGGCGAACCTTTTAGAGACCAAGTGCCCAAACTGCAACCCAAAACCCACTTATGCATCGTCAGGTGCCAATGGGTGTGGCCCATTGGCTGGGTGTGGCCCATTGGCTGGGCATGGCTGCGGTGGTAACGGCAGACTGGGTGGGACTAAAAAGTTCAATCAATCAATTCCAACTTTGCAAGATTTTTTTTCCCGCGAGAAGTTGAAATTGACTGATTGAACCTTTTTTTTTGTACACGGTGGCGGAGGCCTAAAGCGAAAAGGTTTTATAAAACCCAGCTGAAGGCCTAGGACTGGTGCGCAGAAGGCTCTGAGTGCCGCCTCTGGCACACGTGCCATAGGTTCGCCACCATTGACCTATATATAGTTCTTCAGTATTGCTTTACACATACCTTTTAAGTTATTTCCACTGGATTCTCTTTGCCTCCTGATAATTTCAGAATTCCAAAGCTATTTCTTGCACCTTTCATGCCCACTTAAGTGTTAAGTTGCTGGTCCTTCTTCCTGAGAAGCACAAGCACTTTCAGCCAAAACACTTTCAGCTGGAAAGAGAATATCTTTTCCCCATTTACAGCTGCAGCAGTATTGAACTAGTTTTCAGATGGGCACAGTGAGTTTTGAGTGATGGAGATGTGATTATGCCCACACCCGTTAAATTCTTTTCCAAAAGCATAAATCTTTTATGCTGTCTTCCAAGTGGTATTTCTGTTTCTTGAGCTTGAATAGCTGTGGCAGATGAAAACAAAGAAGGGTGGTTTACACTGGACATTTGCGAAAGGGCAATTCTTCTGGCTGTTCGAGTTTCAGCATATTTCAGTTGTCCTTAAATAAAAATTGCACTGTGCAATTAAGGTAAGCATTTTCCTTTCTGACTTCTGTGGAATAGCAGAATGCCGTGACTATACTTAGTCTTTTTAATCAGACTTTAAGGAATAGGAATATGAAGAAATAGAGGTCATCTATGAAAGTCATCCCTGTGTTGATGAGGCCATCCTTCAGCAGTGTGATATCTGGTTGTCAAGGTGCTGCAAATGTTTATAGGCTGTCGCCTGGATACAGGACCGATTGTGTTAGCTTTGTGTTTGCGCTCATGCCTTCTGTTTAATCACCTTAATAGTTTGGTTTCAGGAACCTGAAACACCTCCTAATATAATTCTATGAATCCAGGCACTCATTGGTTGTCCATATCAATCCATGTTCCAGTTCTTGAAAAAACAAGTATAAGATCTATACATGTATGAAAATAAATATGATAAATTATTCTAAATGTCAAATTATACAAAATATATCGATTCCCAGCGTAGACCACTTTGGTATCATGGCTGGCTAATAAATAGGCGCTCAGATCTTCCTTATTAGCCATCATAGTAATTGCAACTGGCCAGTAACTATCTTGTTTTTCCATGGACTCTCTTTTAGTAGGGGTCTCACCTGTCTTCATCTTTATACAGCAAGTCAGCAAACCCACATCATAAATCTTTCACACAGTTTTCGGTGTTCTGTTCTAAATTAGTAACATTGCCAGAATAGATCTCTAACATGCTTGTGAATTCTCTGCCTCCCACCCAAATTGGCAGGCAGTTCTTCTGCCAGTCTTTGCCAATTATTTTCCTGCCAATCTTTGTGTATAAAAACGGGCATGAAACCCACAAAGTTTTGAACATCCTTCAGAAACAAAATATATGTGTTGGCTTTATTAGTTTTCCCTATTTTCCCTATATGTAATCAAATAAATAACTCTCAACAATTGCCAAATCTATTTAGATTTCTTTTTTTTTTGTAAAAGATTTTATTGGGTTTTTCCCCCATACATTGAGTAATAATTTTTTAACCAACGTGCTGTCTTGAGTTTACATTCGTTAATACATATCTAATTCCTAATCCTTTATTCTTTCCTCTAGCCATCGATAAAATAAGTCCCAAGTTTGATAATATTCCGTTTCTACTTTTTCTTTCAGTCTCATAATCAATCTGTCCATCTCTGCACATTCTAGTATTTTTTTTTATTATTTCTTCATCTGATGGTATTCCTTCATTTTTCCAGTATTGCGCAAATATAATTTTTGCCTCTGTTGTGACATGCAAAATCAAATATAAGCTTTGTTTGTTAGTCTTTTCTGCAATTATATCTAATAAAAAAAGTTCAGGTTTAAAATCTACATGTTCTCCCAACAACTTTTTTAGCCAGGTATGTATCTTTTCCCAATAACTCTTTACTTTGTCACATATCCACCAAACATGATAATACGTGCCTGACTTAAGTTTACATTTCCAACATCTATCTGACATGTTTTTAAACATTTTTGCTAATCTTGCTGGTGGCAAGTGCCATCTATAGAACATTTTATATACATTTTCTTTGTAGGAAGTTGACATTGTCAATTTGTAATTTCTTTCCCATAAATTTTGCCATTTTTCTAATTCTATATTATATCCAAAATTTTTCGCCCATCTTATCATTGTTTCTTTAACTTGTTCATTTTTCATTTTCAAAGTTAATAGAAAATTATACATTTTCTTAATTAGTTTCTCATCAGAAATGTCTTATCAAACACAGTTTGTTCCTTGTAAAATCCATACAATTTAATATCTTTATCATATCTAGCTTGCATTTGTAAATGTGCCCACCATGATAGATTGATACCCTGATTTTCCATTTCTTGTTTAGATTTTAAATTCCCTTCAGAGTTTAGAATATCTCTATATGTCCAGATTTTTTCAGAGTTCACTAAATTTGGATGTACAAATGCTTCCATTGTTGACAACCACCCTGGAATTTTCAAATATATTTTACATTTTATTTTTTCCCATGATGTTAATCATTCTTATACAATGATTTTGGAAATATTTATGAACTTTATTTTTCCCGTACCATAAAAAAGCGTGCCACCCCAATTGTAAATCATGTCCCTCCAGTATAACAGTTTTTTATTTCTAAGAGTTATCAATTTTTTTACCCATGTTAATATAGATGCTTGATAATATAAAACCCAGTCCGGTAGACCAAGTCCTCCATTTTCCTTGGCATCTTGTAACATTTTCATCTTAATTCTAGCTTTCTTTTCTTGCCAAATAAATTTCAAAATTAGTGAATTTAAGTCTTCAAAGAATTTTTTCTCAAGTTTTATAGGTATTGTTTGAAATAAGAATAAGATTTTCGGTAGTATGTTCATTTTCACTGTAGCAATTCTTCCTAGTATTGACAATTGCAAGTTTTTCCATTTTTCCAGATCCAGTTTTATTTGATTCAATAGTTTTGTGTAATTATCTTCTATCATTGAGAATCTTGCTGTTAAATGTATTCCCAGATATTTGACCTTTTTAACTATCTGCAATTCTGTTGTTTCTGACATTTGTTTTCTTTTTGTTTATCTGTAAGATTTTTAACTATTACTTTGGTTTTTTCTCTGTTTATTTTCAGGCGTGCCATTTCTCCCTATTGTTCTATCTTTCCCAGTAGTTTAGGAATCATCTCCAAAGGTTCTTCTAAAATAAATACCAAATCAGCAGCAAATGCTTGTAATTTATGTTTTGCCTTTTATTTCTAGCCCTTTAATTTCTATATCTTGTCTAATATTTAAAACTTCCAGAGTAAAAATAAATAACAATGGAGATAATGGACATCCTTGCCTTGTGCTTTTTCTTATCTCAAAGTTCTCTGTATAGTCTCCATTCAAAATCACTTTCGTTGTTTGTTTATTCTATACTGTTTTTATCATGTTTGTAAAGTTCTGTCTAAAGTCCATTATTTGTAATTACTGAATCATAAATTGCCAGGAAACATTACCAAATGCCTTTTGGACATCTAGAAATAGTGTCAGTTATTTCCCTGGATGTAATTCGTAATATTCTAATATGTCCATTATCACTCTTAAGTTATTTTTAATTTGTCTCTTTGGCAAAAAACCATTTTGGTCTGAATGTATAAATTCAGTTAAGTATCTTTTCAGTCTCTCTGCCATTATTGAAGTAAAATTTTATAATCCACATTCAGTAACAATATCAGTCTATATTTTTTTATCTGTGTCAAATCTGAGTCTTCTTTTGGTATTAAGGTAATATTTGCTTCTATCCATGTATTTGGGAGTTTAGCCTCCAACAAAAGTTCACTGCAACTGACACATGTACTTTTGGCATGCAATTTCCAATCTTCATTATGTCTCTTCATACAGTGGTACCAGATAAGGTGACCTGTTCTTTTTTACTCAATGTATATTAGACAGAGAGATTTGGAAAGCAGCAGTAAATTAAAGTTATATGTGAATAAAAGCTATTTAAACTTAGAAATTCCATTAGTACACTTAAGGTAAGTCATACAAGTTTTTTAAAAATAGACATTTCATAGCCAGCCATAATTCTAGAAAAAGAGATTGAGTAGAAAGAGCCAATTTACAGTTGTTCTAGGCCAGACATGTCAAACACAAGGCCCGGGGGCCAGATGCGGCCCGTGAAGTGGTTTCATGTGGCCTGCGAAGCCATCCTGGAAACAATGAGGGAACGGCCCCCACTGCCTTGGCCCTGGCCATGGCCGGCTGGGAGCCAATGTACAATTTTGTGGTGGCCATCTATGCTGAAACGCATTCAGTCTTAGCTCCACAAGGCCGTCTAGAAACAGCGAGGAACCAGCCCCTGCCGTGTCGGCCCCACCCCCTGAGTGCATGCTGGGGAGGTGTTACCCTTTGTGAGGAATGAAGAAATGGACCATGCCTTGGCGCTTGCCCCGATCCCACCCACTTCTGCCAGAGACTCTCAGATCTGTCCCACTCCTGCCCAGGCCCCCACAGGCACCCTTGATGAGAATGATGTAGAGCTGGCCATGCCCACCCAGTAGGCCGCAGCCACCCTGGCCACACACACCCCGCCCCCCGAGGGCAACCGCAATGCTGCTGCGGCCCTCAATGAAATTGAGTTTGACACCCCTGTTTTATTTATTTTATTTTATTAAAATTTATAGACCACCCCACTCCCGCAAGACTCTGGGCAGTTTACAGTAAAAACACAACATAACTTGACAAACAAACAATACAATAACATTCATCCAGGGGTCAGATTTTATAAATCCCAGGCCTGCCGGAAAAGCCAGGTTTTAAGCAGCTTGCGGAAAACCAACAGGGAGCGGTCCTAATCTCCGGGGGGAGCTGATTCCAAGATGTGGGCGCCATCACAGAGAAAGCCCTCCCCCGAGGCCCCGCCAAATGGCACTGCTTGGCCGACGGGACCTGAAGGAGGCCCAGCCTGTGGGATCTAACCGGACTAAGGGAACTATGAGGTAGTAGGCGGTCTCGCAAATAGCCTGGCCCTGAGCCATATAGAGCTTTAAAGGTAATAACCAACACCTTGAATTGGACCCAGAGACCAATAGGCAACCAGTGCAGCTCACGGAGGATAGGTGTAACGTGGGTGTACCGAGGAGCACCCACTATCACTTGCGCGGCTGCATTCTGGACCAACTGTAGTCTCCAAATCCTTTTCAAGGGTAGCCCCATGTAGAGCGCGTTGCAGTAGTCTAGACGTGAGGTGACAAGGGCATGAGTGACTGTAAGGAGAGCCTCCCAGTCTAGGTAGGGTCGCAACTGGTGCAAGAGACGAACTTGTACAAAGGTCCTCCCAGCCACAGCCGTCAAATGATGTTCCAATTTCAGCTGTGGATCAAGGAGGACACCCAAGTTGCGAACCCACTCCGAAGGGGATATATAGAGTCAACACTGGACAGTTGACATGATCCTTGGGAGGCAACATCCAAAGCCACTCGGTCTTGTCAGGATTGAGCCTGAGTCTGTTAACTCCCATCCAGACCCTCACGGCTTCAAGGCAACGACCCATCACATCAGCCGCTTCACTGAGAGAGCTCGGGGAGGAGATAAATAGCTGGGTATCATCAGCATACTGATGAAACCTCACCCCGTGCTATCTGATGATCCCACCCAGCGGCTTCATGTAAATGTTAAATAGGAGGGGGGAGAGGACCGACCCCTGCAGCACCCTGCATTCAAGGGGCCTTGGGGTTGACCTCTGCCCCCCCACCAGTACTGATTGCGACCGGCCAGAGAGATAGGAGGAGAACCACTGTAAAACGGTGTCTCCCACTCCCACCCCTCCAAGTCGTCGCAAAAGGATACCATGATCGATGGTATCAAAAGCCACTGAGAGGTCAAGTAGCACCAAGACAGAGGAATAACCCCTGTCTCGGGCCCGCCAGAGATCATCCATCAGCGTGACCAAAGCAGTTTCTGTGCTTAAACCGGGTCTGAAGCCAGATTGAAAAGGGTCTAGGTAATCCGCTTCATCCAGAGACCGTCGGAGCTGGAGCGCCACCACTCTCTCTACAACCTTCCCCAAAAAGGGGAGATCGGAGACTGGGCGGAAGTTGTTTAAATCAGCCGGGTCCAGGGTGGGCTTCTTGAGAAGGGGCCTCACAACCGCTTCCTTCAAGGGTTGTGGGAAAGACCCTCCCTCAACGAAGCGTTGATCAACACCTGGAGCCAGCCTCGTGTCACCTCCTTGGTGGCCGAGACCAACCAGGAAGGACACGGGTCCAATAAACAAGTGGAGGCGCTCATTGCTCCCACCGCTCTGTCAACATCCTCAGCGGTCACAGACTCAAATTCATCCCATAAAACCGAGCTAAGACCTGCCCCGGTCATCTCAGAAGGCCCTGCCCAATCGGAGTCTAGGTCTGTCCGAATCCGAGTGATTTTGTCTGATAGAAACTGCACAAATTCTTCCGCCCTACCCTGTAAGGGCTCCCCGGCTTCCCGAACGTTAAGTAGGGAATGGGTCATTCTAAACAGGGTGGCGGGGCGAGATTCTGCAGACGCAATAAGTGCGGAAAAATGCGAACATTTTGCCGCTCGTATCGCCACTAAATAAATCTTAATATAGGCTCTTAAAAGTGTCCAGTCGGGTTCGGAGTTACTAGCCCTCCAGCGTCGCTCTAGACGTCTCTTCTGATGCTTCATCTCCCGTAGCTCCTCGGTAAACCAAGGTGCCCTCCG